ATATATGTTTTCTTCTTTTTTTTTTTTTTTTTTAATTTCATAATTTATATAATCCGTTTTTATTATCTAAAGTCAATCGGTTACAGGGAGAATCTTTTCGTGAAGAGTATATTACTACACCTCAAATTCAAGTCGCTAATATACAATGGAATTATAATCAAACAAATGATGTAATTAAAGTAGAAATTTGGGATGTGGTTGATAAGGGTATCAGTCCAACAAATATTAATAAGAGATCTACAACGTCTAATTCCATATTGAAAATCGACAATTCACAAGGTAGTAAGTTTTTTTTTTTTTTATCTGAACATGAAAAAATTTTCTAGTCATGTTTTTAAAAAAAAAATTTATTATTTTCCTTGATAGTCTTGACTAAACCACCATCATCCGGTTCTTTGCATCAGTCACCGGATCAACTTTCACTTGATGCTGAAACTATTGATGTATATCGCAATACACATGGCTTGATATTATTGTTTGATATGACCAAGAATTGGACATTCGAATATGCTGTTAAAGAATTAAGAGCTATTCCTAAAAATATGGCTGTATTATTACTGGTAAGTATTTTATCATCACTTATTTTTTGATATATCATTACTTTGATTTAATTGGTTTGCCAAATTTTTAATAGGGTAATTTTAGCGATCTTAGGTAATTATGTACAATTGTTAATTTTATGTGATATGATTTGGTGCTTTAAAAAAATGATAATAAGTTTTATATTATGAATAAGTTCGCAACGTGTGATTTCTCAATCACAAATCTATCAAGCGATAGCGGACATCAATCGTGAACGAATATCAGAATATCCTTCGGCCAATATGGTTCGGTATGTGGAGACTAGCATGTTAAATGGGCTTGGTCTAGAGTACATTTACAAGTATTTCGGAGTTCCTTTTTTACAATTACAGGTAACTTTTTTTGATTGTCAAAAACATTTCATAATTTAATTACCTATATGATCAAAAGATGTTGAAAACAATCTCTTGTTTTAATTATAATCCCAAAGAGAGATATCCTTCGCCAGCAATTGGCTGCAAAGACAAAAGAATTAGCAAAACTTCTTGATACACTGGACCTTGATGATAATGTTTCTAGTTCAGTTAAAAGTCGACTAAATGTTCCTATGGACGTTGTTGGAATAAAAGGTAATTGTTTATTTGGATTTATTCACTTTTTGATAATAAATTCACATATATATTAGATATAGAACCAGATTTAGGAAAGGACCGTTTGGAAGAAGAACAAATGCAATTAAAAAATTTATGGGATAAAGAATTTAAAGAATTATCCAAGAAAAAAGAACCAGGTAAATAATATTGAACATTTTTCACATTCATTTTTTTTTTTCTTCAATGTTAATGTTTAATTTATTCTGTTTTATCATCCAAACAGTTGAATCATTAAGCTTACCTCTGGAACAACAAGTGATACAGCCTTTATCAGATACTCTTTTGCATAAACGTTCAAAGGCAATTATTCCTGATACAACGATAATTGATGAATTCGATGCAGGAGATTTGGAAGATGACTTTTTTGATGACACACCCGATCCGGTTGTGGTATTACCTCCAGTCGTCCTACCTAAAAATGATGAAGTAGAAGATATGGATTCGAAAAATCCGATGGTCACTATCGATGAAGAAGACCTTATTGGTGTTGAAGGTTATGATGATGTAGAAGATGATAAACCAAATAAACCAAATGTCCATCAAAGTTTCAATGATGTTTGGAGACATCGACATAATAGTGTATCTTTGGCAAACCAAATAAGCGATAGCAGTGATGATGATTTAACACAAGCGGCTAAACATTTAAATTTGTTGGATCGGCGACCTTCAACCACAAAAATTTATATTGATAAATCTATGCGAGAAGATTCGAATTTGGAAGTTCATGATGATTCAGTGGATGAACATGGGTCATTTACATATTCAGGTCATGGTTTATCAATTAACGATCCATATATAAAATCTGAACAAAGAGATTTGCATCATGGTTTTGAAGAATCATCTTTTGATATGGCAGGATATTCACCTATTAGTTTCGGAACTCCTAGTGGATATGAAGAGATTGGTGAAGGACAAGACAATCCATGGTTAGAAGGTGACACGTATCAACCAGAACATAAAGATTTAGACGACAACACACCTCCAATTACCCAAACACAAGCTATACCTAAAGGATACGAGTTCTTTAGTACCGCTGCTGAAAGTACACGTGGGTCGACTACAGAATATCATCGTAGTTAGAGATTCCCACCTAATCTTAAAACCAATATTTAAATAATAACCCAGATATTTAAAAGCAAAAGGGTTAAAAATAGTTAATTTAAATAATTAGTTATACATTCTTCTTTGTGATTGATGTATTTGGCTTTAAATTTTCAAAAATCAAATATATTTTGCAAATCTTCATTGGTACATTAAATAATTTTCGCTATAAAACAGTGATTTAAATACTGTAACCTTTGGAATGTTAATACTGAAAAGTATATTTATTTTTGAAATTATCAATAGATATAAATATATATAGGTATATACACTTAATTTACTTTTATAATTTTTTATATTAATATTTTTACATTATATATATTTAGAAAAAATATAGAAATTATTATTTTTTGCGTATTAAAATTTAAAATCTTTCTTATTAATGACAATCGTTTTTTGATGAGATCTAATGATAACATAAAAATTATGGATCGATCTAAAGTATTACATTCTAATTTCACTTTAGTAAAAATTCATTCTCTATTTATCAACATATATAACCCCAGAAAACCGATCAGGGCATATTTCAGTTGAGGATAATCATTCATAATTATTGTTATCATTCCGACATACGGTAAGAAACTTTAAAAATAAAAAAAGGCATTAAAAATAATAAATTTCATATTTGTAATGTGTAATGCAATTTGAAAAAAAAAATATATATATATACCCTTTAACTTTTCCGACAATATCCTCTTGATGAATCCATTGCTGTCCTGGATTATATAAACCTCGATCATCTACCTGGTTATTGTCACCTTTTGTGAGAATGTATTGTGTCCCAGTTTTTCTTCTATGAATTTTTAAAATAACCAATTGTTATTATATATATATATATATAAAAGATAATATTAATATTACAAAAGATATTAAACTTACTCATCATGTAATTTTATGACTCGGTGAACAATCGGTACATCTCTACCAGGGATCTTGAAAACACATATATCACCAACTCGTACTGGTTCATCGGGCATTGCTAAGAATAAAAGATCACCACGATAAAAAGCTGGTTCCATACTTCCACTAAATATATAAAATATTAGTGAGTTAATAATGGATGTGTATATAAGAACTTTATTGAAGACAAATATTTATTTAAAGAACTTACCTCAAAACCACTACTATAGGACTCTCACTATTTGTATAAAGTGCCAAACCTTTCCATACCATTAATGCGGAAGAGACAATCATTAAGAAATTTAAAACTTGTTGAGCAAGCTAATCACATAATTCAAAATTTTAAACAATAATAGATAAATTGAGAAATTTATATAAAAGCAATATACATAATGAGGTTTTCTTTTTTTTTTTTTTTTTTTATACCTGACGCTTGCTCATTTTTTGCAAAAACCGTATTTGTTCTTCGAACATTTTGATTGAACTTCTCTAAAAAAGATAGATCATTTTCATTTATATTGAAAAATATTGTTACACGAAAATATATAATAACGATAAGAGCCACTAAAATTTTGCCAGGTCTGATATTACTGAATTTGTAGGTATTACTACGTAAATTCTTACTTATCACATGATAATAACGGTCTAATCTCAACTAACGTTAATCATTTCTTACAAGCATGTCATTAAAAATATAATTATCGTAAATGACTTATTACGTATTACGTATTGACAACGATAAATAAGCATAACGATAATTTCTTAGCAAGAATCATACTGTACTTTATTTAAAGATATACCCAAATTATATTTTTTTAAAACGAACTTTCTACTATCAAATGCGAAAGTTTCTACTTTAAATTTATCAAATTTAAAAATAGATCTAGTTAAATTTGGAGAGCTAAAGTTCATATTTACCAACCTGCCGAAATGGTCATGAAATTAAAAAATTGAATAACTTATGAGCCTTGAAACTTAGCTTATTTATAATATTATATCAGATATACTTACTACTTGTCAATTAAAAATTTACAATGAATAGCGGGTAGTTAAGATTATTATAGTTATGGTTTGGTTTAGTTTGGTTTGAAAACATGATTACAGAAACTGTTATTAAATTATATTGATAATTTTTTTTAAATTAAAAGATAAACGAAAGAAAAAAAAACTAGTTTGTTTCTATAAAACAATCTTAATAAAAAAGGATAACAATTAGAAACCTGTCAGGTCAGAAGCGCTGTAATGTATCTTTAGATCAAATAGATATGAATCGGTACTGTATCTCATATAGATAATGAAAAAACATTCCTACAAATTGCAATTCAATTAAAATGATTTCATATTAAAATGAACCAATTTTAAATTATTTATGTACCGGTAACGTGCTTGAAGAAGTAAGAACCATTTTATAGAAGATTATTATTAATTTATATTATAAATCTTTATTATCTGTTAAATAAACAATTCTAAATAGATCGTAAATCTATTGATATGGTTCAAAATAATATTAGAAAATTCGAAAATCACAAAACTACACCTCGTACTTAGATGATAAAAAATTTCGTTATTATTGTCATATTATTATCGTGATTCTTTATCATTCGATAAGAAAATTTATTATAATTCACAAGTTATTATAAACATAAGTATAGTACGTAAAACGGTTTATTAAATAGCAAAGTAAACTTATTGAATATTTAGAGTTCAAGAATATTTAACGTTAATATAAAATGAATCTTATCGTCATACTGCATCGTTTAAACATTATCGCGTAATCAGTCAATGGGTATTGATTTAAAGACGTAAGATTTTTAAACTTAAGATCTCCAAAAACGGATTGTTTTGATGTGTAATTAGGACGTGAAAATTTTAAAAAACCAACAATTTCCAAAAATAGATTATTTTGATGCCTAAAATTTTAAGACGTGTGTGTTTTGATCGTAAATTTTAAGACGTGTGTATTTTGATCGTAGATCTTAAAATAAATATATAAGAGTTACATTTTTTTACTATCGTTCTTTATACATTCTCCACTTTTGCATTTTTTTCTCAAAAATATACAGACTTAAAATAATAGCACATGCAATTTTTGCCCTCTCGCCTTCCATACCATCTCAGTTTCAACGGGAGCAGTTGACAAAGTATATATAGTTCACACTAGCTCCCAACGAACTGAGATGGATATGGTCGGCAACCTTTATGCATTCCTGCTTGAAATTTTAAGTACTGTACTTATATATTATTTGAGTAAAAAAAAATTGCGCTACGAACTGCAGTGGAGATAGATTAAATGTGATACCGTGCTTTTTTAAGATTATAACTATAGATATAGTTATGATCTTCGTAACACGGTTCACATACATTTCGAATATTCGAAATATATATATTTTTACTATTCCAGGTATTGAACCCAGAACTACTTATCGGAAGACCACAAACTAACCACTATACTACTCGGATTTAATAGTAATTAATTTTTTTAATAAATTTTAATAAAGAGTTCTTATTATTAATGTAATTAACTATTTTTTAAAAGAAAATTTTAGACACGCTGTTTACTTTTTTTTCAAGATTAGTATTTTCTTTTTTTTAAAAAAAAAATTTTTGAAACGTTTATTTTAGAATATTATTATTAATTAATAATAAATAAATTTATCAATTCAACCTTTGCTTTGCGGTTTTGTATTTGCGCAACTTGTTAATTGACTTGCGAAATTGCAAGTATTTTCCACTAGACTTAATAAAAATAAAGGTTCTATCAATTTAATATTTAATAAATGAATTTTTAAATTTACGATTTTTTCGACAATTTTTTCAAATGTATTAAAATTTGATTTTTTATGATAATAAAAATATTTGGTGGTTTTATTAATTAATTTTGTTATATTTCTTAATAAACATCAAATTTACAATAAAAGATTCCTTTTTATGTTTTATACTCTATGAAATATATTGTATTAATCATAATTGTTACTGCAAAATTAAAAAAAAAACAAGTTGGTTTGAATATTAATCTTCGCTACCGGTATAAAGGGATGTTACGTGAAATCGAATTTAAAGGTTTCAAGAGTTTACAAATTTCAAATATTACCATTAAATTATAGCGCTTTGCAATAAAGTATGACACTGTGATTTTTGTGATGATGGTAGTTGGAAATTTCGGAGATTTAGATTTTATATTAATTAAACAATTGTATATGTTACGGGTCAAATTGATTTTTAGGTCAAGTTAAACTTGACCCGGGTCAAATTGATCAATTAAAAACCTCGGTCGCATCAACATAATTCCGGCCCACCCTAACCCTAAAATTCTAATTTGACCCGGGTCAAGTTTAACTTGACCTAAAAACCAATTTGACCCGTAACATATATATTGTTTAAAATCTTTAAAATTGTCGGAGAATCAAAAAATCTGCTAAAATCTGCTGATTTTTTGCAATTTCACATGACATCGTGATCTGCAGGTGTCACACTTTATTGCAAAGCGCCAATAACTGTTACCGAACAGCGTAGACTAAAATACCCGAGGTACTTTACAAGCTATCTGCATATATAGGTATTAATAGTCAGAGGAATACTATAGCTGATAGTTAGCATAGGAGATATTGATTGCACTATATAGGTATCGAGGAAAACCTGTCATTGGACTTTTATATTTTAGGCCTCTAAAAGTTGTGAGGGGTATTATACTGGGAGGGTCTTTTAGTCCACGCTATACGGTAATATTATTTCGGGAATTCATATGATTTCATACACCTTTGATATACACAAAATTATTACTACTATCGTCTTATGATATAGTATAAATCAGTGTATCACTCAGGTTAAAGATTTTCTGACTTAGAACGTAAATGTCTTCTGAGTATGGTACGTCTACTAATTGATCAGATTCGTCTGATTATTCAGTGTATATATACCAAATACTCTTCTGCATAAGTCTATTGGAAATCAGAACTTATTTAGGATTCCATATTTTTCGAATGTTCCAATCAGTGCATAAAATTGTGGATTGATGTAACCTGCTTTTATTTCTATCAACATTATTTCAAGTTGAGTTTAGAAATTCATAGCCAATGAAATTTGTCAAATGAAAACTGGAAACTCCGGTATTTTACAATAGATTTTGTGCCAATTACTCAAAGATTTCTCGAGTAGAATCCTTTTAAATGCACTTATAGTGATTAATGTTAACCAATCAAATTACTATCCTTTTTCTGCACATAACTTGATGCAAACTTATACAAAAACGACAGGAAACAAATAAAAGATGCCAAAAATTTTTATAATGAAAATTTTTTTAATTACCGTAGACAAAAGCCAGTAAATTAGAGAGATCTTTGTATAGTGATCGGGGATTAACATCATGTGATCCTAATTATTGTCGTTCTTTTTTTTAAAAAATTTTTCAGATTTGTAATTATCAGATTTGTTATGATCATGTTGCCATATTTTATAATTAATTACCTTGCTTTAGATTTTTTTGCTACTTTTTTAAAAAGTAAATAATTAAAAATAATTCGGGTAAAAATATAAATATACATGTATTTACGAACGACAATGAATAACTCACTTTTTAATTGTCTTGAAGAAATTCACGAATTTGAAATTATTATTTTTTTTATTAAAAAAGAAAAATTTCATAAAGATTAATCAGATTAAAACCACGTTTTATTACTTTGGCCAATGGAACTCGGACATAATCACAATAAAAAATAATTCAAGTTTTTGATTTTTAACTTACCAATTACAAATTCTAAATGAAATTTTATCTAGCACAAACAAAGTATTCTTTACAAAAATAGCTCAAAATTTGAATTATTAAAAATTGGCTTTTTAAAAGTGCTGATAAGCTAATAATACCAGGAAAAAAAAAAGTGCTGATAAAGTACAATACTAATTTTTGCTATAATTTGTACTTTTTTAGCACTTTGTTACTATAATTTAATATAAAAAATATTATAATAATAATGCTAATATTTGCAAAATATTAGTAGTAATAAAGGTCTAAAAATTACTAATAATTTAGATAGTTAATGGTGCTTATAAAGTAATAATTTTATAATAAATTAGTAAAATTGCCAATTTAATACTAATAAAGCACTTATAATTTGCAAATTTAAATTTTTGTAAAGTTTATAACAATGAAGAATTAGAAAGTTTAAATTACACGCACATTTAAGTATCGTTAAGTGACTTTAAGTTCCTTCTAAATATTTTCTATGCTTGATTTGTCGTGGCTATACATCGCATTAGGTATGAATGATAAGCTACTC